AAATGGAATATTGCCTAGTGTGTTGGCTGCTCAGAGAAACTATCAAGTGTTCAGAATATCTGAGATACTCTCACAAGAGGTCTTGTCTCCAGCATCACGGGAGCTGTTCAATTAAACTGTTCTGCACATTGATGCAGGAAAGATTTTGGTGACACACCGTGGAAAATAATGAAGTAGGTCTGAAGTAGGGAAGCAAGAGTTAGTGACAGAAACGTCAATGTTTTAGTACAATATTAGTTGATGGCAGAAATTAGTTGATGGCAGAACATGGATGGGTCACTTCTATCTGGAAACGCATGTTTCTGGTATGAGTTCCTAGGACCTCCTGCTCTGAAAGGTCCCAGGTTGATAAAATGTGCCAGTATCACATCAACTGCTTCTCCATTCTGCATCTAAAAGAAGCATATCAATATAAGGAAGCTTTTTATTTTCTTTCCTTTCTGGAAAGTTAGGGCATGGTTCACTGTTCTGGTAAGATTTTTACTTCTACTCTGTGTGATGGATAAATGAAGTGAGTAACACAAGAACTGACTCAGAGTATTTCCCAGAATCTAAACTATCTCACCAGTTCTTCTGGTGATCTCTGAGCCAAACCACCAGAAAATCAGGGGAAACCTGAAAAAAAAACCAAAAAAAAAAACCTGAATATGTCCAAATTCTACTTCATCAGGGACCTTCATTAAAAACTATTAACTGATAAAGTACAGACTAAATGCAGAGGTTCTTCTCTGGGTTTGAATTTTGACTTCTGGGCTATTTGTTGCTGTTATAAAGTGATTATTACCTGGTTAGCTTTCCTCCCCACCTCTGTTGTCATCTGAGCTGTTCTCTGTCTCTGTTGAAGATGGAGATGAGACAGAATGCTCCAAGTCCCTCTGTGTATGGTTTAGGGCACAATTTTCCAGGCAGTGTGCAATGCAGGCATGAATCACAACTCCCTTTAAGATACTGCTGTATTCAGTACTCTGGCTCCTTTCATCTGACTGAACAGGCTCCAGGTTTTTGTTTTTAATCTAAGCAATAACCAATTTTCTCCAGAGATGAGCATTTGCTGACTGTTGCTGCTGTTCTTATACCCAGAATTGCAAACCCCTCAGAAAACAAGGCCAGCTCGTGCATGTGTGTACAAACATGGTTTCAAATCTGGCTTGGATTCTTTTTTCCAGCTCAGCAAGTGAGTGACATGTTCACTTTAGCATGGCTTCCTCCCGAGACAAGCCGTGGGCTGTGCCAAAGTGCTGTGAGGCGTTCACTGTGAGTTCAGTCACACACTGGAGGCAGATTCTACAGCACCCTGGAGACAGGGGTGACATGAGGACGGTACAGCCATGATTCAGATCTGCCTTGCACTTTGGGCTTGGTAGTAGGTCATATCAGTATTGTGTCAGTACAACCAAGGTGCAAATCAGACCCCACTTCAATAACAGCCGTGTGTGATTGAAATTATTTGAAAGAAAGTACTAAATCAGTATAGCTTTGTTCAGTTCAACTTCAGGTATGGCTGAGGTTGTTGCACTTCAGTCCGTAAGAGCTCATTAAAGGAATCAATACTGAAAAATGCACCATTTAAATACAGAAATGTCCATGTGATGGTCATAATCTTGCAATACCTGACATCAGACAGAGAAACACTTTTGCTCTTTTCTTCTTTATCTGTGGTGGAGCCTCCTCATCACCTGTGCTTACAGTGCTGCCCTGAATCCTGGCCCTCTGCTCCTGAAGCTGGGCAGGATGGGTTGCAGGGGCTGATATTCTGTGCTGCGAGCAAGAGTGGTTGGGGGACAGGGCAGGCTTRATCTGACGGTGCTCTGCATGTGTGAGGTGATCAGGTCTGAAAAAAGCCATAGCTGCAAGTGTTTCAGTTTAACCTCCTTGTTTGAAATGTAAAGCCTGATGCAGATGAGSCTCTGCAGACAGCCCTGATTTTGGTAACTGGCAAAAGCATTTCTAATCTGAAAAGTCTCCCTTCTCTTCCTATTAGTTATTTCTCTAAGCAAAGCAGCTGGCGTGACCTGGGCATGTTTTGCTTGTATTGTTGCCGTGAGACAATAGCTTAGCCTGAGGGAAGAAGACAACCTASTTACCACATCATGTGGGAGCTGCTTCAGCAGGACTTGAGAAACCAGTGTTTGTCTGAAGCCCACTGAGGCTACCTGAGACTATCTGAGGAGTTAACCCGTGAGTGCACCTTCAGTCAGTCTGCAGACAACACCAAAATGGGCAGGAATGATGATCTGCTTTGGGGTAGGAAAGCTCTGCAGAGGGATCTGGACAGGTTGGATCAATGGGCTGTGGCAAATTGTATGAGGTGCAGTAMGATGAAATGTCAGGTTGTGCACTTGGGTCACAGCAGCCCCAGGCAGTGCTACGGGCTGGGGCATGAGGGACTGGAAAGCTGCCCRGCAGAAAAGGACCTGGGGTTGCTGATGGACAGCAGCTGAACATGAACCAGGTTGTGCCCAGGTGGCCAAGAAGGCCAGCAGCATCCTGGCCTGTATCAGGAGCAGTGTGGCCAGCAGGAACAGGATAGTGATTCTTTCCCTGTACTTGGGTGCTGGTGAGGCCATACCTCAAATCCTGTGCTKAGTTTTGGGCTCTCCACTACAAGAAAGATGCTGAGGTCCTGGAGCAAGTACAGAGAGGGGCAATGGAACTGGTGAAGGGTCTGGAGCACAGATCCTGTGAGAAGCAGCTGATGGAGCTGGGGGTGTTTAGCCTGGAGAAAASGAGCTCAGGGGGTGCCTKATTGTTCTTTATAACYRCCTGACAGGAGGCTGCAGTGAGTTGAGGGTTGGTCTCTTCTTCCAAACAACAAATGACAGGATGGCAATGGCCTCAATTTGTGTTGAGGGTGGTTCAGAATGGATACTAGGAACATCCTCACAGAAAGGGCTGTCAAGCATTAGAACAGGCTGTATAAGGAAGTGTTGGAGTCACCATCCTTGGACGTATTTAAAAAATGAGTGGGTATGGCACTTGAGGACATGGTTTAGAGGTGAACATGGTGGTGGTGCTAGGTTGATGGCTGGATTAGATCCTACAGGTATTTTTCAACCTTAAAGATTCTATGATTCTATGAGATATGGGAGATCAAAGAACTGAACTGAACAGGGGGGACAGRCTTTTGTCCCCTGGTGTTCTATGTGGCCTTCACCTCTATCTCTTTCTCCAGTCAAAGTGTGGATATTCCTGCTACAGAGAATAAGGTAACAGAGAGCTGTTGGGAAGGGGAGCAGAGGGCAAGGGCACCTAAACACTGGGCATGGTGTTTGACCCAGAGTTCACTGCTAATGTGCTGTCCCAACTGGCACAGGCTGAGAGCTACCTGACCCTAARAACAAGACTTTGTGTAATTCAAGTGAGGAAGTAAATGGAAGTTACACAAGGTCTGCAGAGAGCAGTGGGCAGAGGTCCAGCTGGGGTCGGGTGGTTTCCTGCCCTCCTGCAACAATTTGTGATAAAAAAGCTCACAACGAATAAGAAGCATTACAGCCTTTTCTGGAGGGAAATGGAACTGCTCTACTGCCAGAGGCAAGGATTTTTGGGGACATGGTTTAAGATATCAAGATTAGCCATATATTAAGTCAGATCTGGGACTAAAGCTTTCATATCAAAGCTACTGTGTTTTTTCACAGTAGCAGTGGTTTTGCAGGGAACATTTTCAGGGTGATTTACAGGGCTACTGCAGCCATCATAAATACCTAAGTAAGCAATGTGAGCCCAGTAGTTGGAGTATGCCAGACCTGTGGTTGCCTGACAGCAGAGGGGTTCTTACTCATACCATGGCATCTCCGTGACACCAAACACGGGGAAGGTGCAGCTTGTTCTGGTTCCACAAGAAGCTGCTACCAGACCCAAAAGAGAATTTTAGTTTTATGAACCTGTCATGTCCTTGTACAGGAACATGTGAACAGCACTCACTTTCCTTGCAGCGGTAGATTAAAACTAGCATTTAGTTGCTCTGAGTTACTAGAAGATGTATCTTCACTGCACAGCAGCTGTAAGTGAACTGTAAATCTACCAGGCATGGGCACTTTCCTCAGAGCCTGAAAACATCATTTCTGTAGCAGTGCAGCTCTGCAGCTGACCTAATAAATACTGGTGCTGAGCAGGGCTAATTATCTCAATGCAGCATTGCCCTGGCATGGCTGTACAGCTTCCCACTCTGGAATTAGCTGAGCTGGAACATGTTTGGGTGTCTGCACTGTCCTTCACGGTGTGGTGGAAACAGGCCCTGCGCAGTGCTTGGTGGAGGAGCATCACATGCATGCAGTGTTTCTCCGGACTGCAGTGTTTCTCTGCTCCAAATGTAACAGGAAAGTGCTGGGCTGCAGAGCAATGGAGTCACTTAACAGCTCCGCTTAAAATTTGACTTTGACTTGGAGGAAATTTTGGTCACCTTGAACCTAATTTTGGAACATCAAGCCCTTGTCTCTTCTGAAATCAGTGCTTGATAGTATATGGTGCTTCTGAGCAAAATGTTGACTACCATGCTATTTCTTTCTTTTTTTGCCTCCATCTCTATGAACTTTGCTTAAAACCAAATGAATAATAAGTAGGTGTTGGGAGGTGATATAAAAAGATGTGTGGAAAATTACTGGGGATTCTCTTACTCTTGATTTTGGAGATCAAACAAGGCATGTAAATTAATAAAACTGATTCAGTGTCAGGTATTTAAATAAGAAGATAGATGAATAATCACACAGCCTGTAGCATCTGGGTTTTTGCAGGTTCAGGTCCAGTTGCATCTTAATACAGGTTAGTGCCTTAGGTGGAAACGAGCAGATGAGCATTTTTCGGAGAACTAAACCCATCCAACTGAATAAACACAGTGCTYGCTGCTGTTGGTCTGTAAGTAGTCACAATTCATTTGTCTGAAGATAATTTCAAAATGGCTCTTCTCTTTARGAGGAGTTAGGAAGATGGGGCTATACCCAATACCAAGACAATTTGTTTCTTTTCTACTAACGCTTCCCAATGTGGCTTTTCTCTTACTGTAGTACTGGATTAATGAATACACCTCCACCTTGGGGATTGGTGTCTTCCATTCTGGCATCGAGATCTAYGGCAGAGGTAAGAACTATTTCCTTTTTACTACCTGCAGAACATGAGGACAGCTGTATAGCCAGTCTGATATGGAAAAACATCCCAAATTTACAGCTTTTGTCAGGGAAAGTTTTGAGGAATGAAAACCAAAAAACTCTGCCAGGTTTTTTTTTTTTTTTTTTTTTTTTTTTT